GAGGTCAGGTGCCAGTGGCTCAAATCTATAATCCTAGCTAATCAGGAGGTTGAGATCTGATAATCACTATTCAAAGCCAGCCTGGACACACACACACATAATAGATACATATATACATACACATATATATGTATACATACATATATATATACATACAGGTATACATATATCATTCCAGATCTCATATATATGTGTGTGTTATAAATAGTTTTAGAGCCGGGCGCCGGTCGCTCACACCTGCAATCCTAGCTACTCAGGAGGCTGAGATCTGAGGATCACGGTTCATAGCCAGACTGGGCAGGAAAGACTGTGAGACTCCTATCTCCAATAAACCACTAGAAAAAAAAAAAAAATGGAAGTGGCGCTGTAGCTCAAGTGGTAGAGTGCTCTCCTTGAGCTGAAGAGCTGAGGGACAGCGCCCAGAGTTCAAGCCCCATGACCGACAAAAAAATAAAATAAATAAATATTTTTAGAGAAATCTTTCACATTAAAAAAAAGTCGGACCCCCCCAAAAAATAAAAAAAATAATAATAATAAAAAATTCGGAGTGAGACACCAGTGGTTCATGCCTGTAATCCTAGCTACTCAGGAGGCTGAGATCTACAAATCATAGTTCAAAATAAAATCCATGAAATACTTCTTATCTCCAATAACCCCAAAAAGCCAGAAGTACGTCAGCCTTTAACAAAAAAAGCTTAAGGACAGCACCCAGGCCCTGAATTCAAGTCCCAGGACTGGCAAAAACAAACAAACAAAAAAAAACTTCACTATTCTTTGAGCATAACTTAATTTGGATGCCAAAATTTCACCGGAAATATTTGATCTCTATTTTGACTTCTTACGAATTAAGATTGAAGTGGAAATGTGCATACTCCAATTGTTTTAAGAGTAAGGTTCCCAGGAATTGGGTATTTTAAATTTAGTCAATTAAAATTACACAACTTGAAATTTCAGTTCTTCAGTTGCATGGGGACCATATTTCAAGTGCTCAGTATCTGCAGGTATCTGGTGGGCCCTGCCTAGGACAGCACAGTCCCGCATAGGAGACACAACATATATTAATATCCTGTGACAAAAAGAGTGGTATTGAAGGAAAGGAAAGAATAGAGGTGGAAGACTTGGAGAAAAAGTGAAGTGAGGGGCTGGGAAGGTGGCTCAGTGGTAGAGCGCTTGCCTTGCATGCATGAGGCCCTGGGTTCGATTCCTCAGCACCACATAAGCAGAAAAAATTAAAAAATCCAGAAGTGGTGCTGTGGCTCAAGTGGTAGCGTGCTAGCCTTGAGCTGAAGAGCTGAGGGACAGCGCCCAGGCCCAGAGTTCAGGCCCCATGACTGGACCCCCCCCCACCCAAAAAAAAAAAAAAAGTGAAGTGAGATGATTTCAGAAAAGTCTTCTGGAGCCTTTATTCTCCAAGCCCAGGAAGGTGCTGAAAGGTGATAAGTAGTAGATTAACATGAAAAAATTTGCATTTTCCAAAGATCCTGTTGTCTGCAGTAGGAAAGACAGGGTGAATGGAGATTGCTCCAGATGCTGCTGCTGTGGTCCAGCGGGGAGGCATGTTGGAGGCTTAGCCTAGAATGGGAGCTGTGGAATTGGAGGGAAGTGGAAGGAGTCAAAGGTATTCGGAGAATAATGCTGGATGAGTTGGGTGATACTCTGGGAATGAAAGGTGCAGGGAAGTGGAGGCATCAAGGACAAAACCATTCTTTCTGGCTCAAACACAGACAGGTGATGGAGCTGTATGCCCAGAAGGGAAGTCTGTGAGGAAGACCAGTAAGGGAAAAGGAAGAATAGAAACTTGACTTTAACCATGTTGAGTCTGAAGTGCCTTAGAGACATGCTGGTGGAGATGATGCACAGAACACTGACAGATCTAACCACAGGGCATTAGAGAGTGGGGCACTGTACCAGAGAACACATAGGTATGGAAATCACTCAGAAGCTGGGCTCCCGTGGCACCTGCCTATAATCCTAGCTACTGAGAAGGCTGAGATCTGAGGATTGTGGTTCAAAGCCAGCCCTAGCAGAAAAGTCCATGAGACTCTCATCTCCAATTAACCATCAGAAAATTGGAAGTGGTGCTGTGGCTCAAGTGGTAGAGCACTAGCCATGAGCTAAAGAGCTCAAGGACAGTGACTAGGCCCAGAATTCAAGCCCCACAACTGACCGGAAAAAAAAAAAAAAGGAAAGAAAGAAAGAAATTACTCAGCTGTATCTCACACCTGTAATCCTAGCTACTCAGGAGGCTGAAAATCATGGTTCAAAGACAGCCTGGGCAGGAAAATCTACAAGATACTTTTCTCCAATTAACCAGCAAAAAGCCAGAAGTGGAGCTGTAGCTCAAGTAGTAGGGTGCCAGCCTTAAGCAAAAAAAAAAAAAAAAGCTAAGGAACAGTGCCTGGGCCCTGAGTTCAAGTCCCAGTACCTACACTAAAAAAGGAGGAAAAGAAGGAAGAGGAGGAAGTGAAGGAAGGAGAGAAGAAAGAGAAAGAGGAAGAAGCAAAAGAAAAAGGAAAGAGCTGTGGGCTTGGAAGAAGAGGATAACTAAAGGTGTGGGGGGAGAATCACTGATGAGCTTAGGACTCAGCCTGCTCACACTTTACCCAATGCTGTTTAGGGGAGGAGTGGAAGCAGACAATTCTTTTAGGAAGTTTGTGTGTGTTGTGTGTGTGTGTGTGTGTGTGTGTGTGTGTGTGTGTGTGTGTGTGTTTCAATCCTGTGGCTTTGAACTCAGAGCTTGAGCACTGTCTCTGAGCTTCTTTTGCTCAAGGCTAGCACTCTACCACTTAAGCACAGCACTACTTCTGGCTTTTTCTGTTTATGTGTTACTGAGAAATTAAATCCATGGCTTCCTGCATGCTAGGCAAGCACTACCCCTAAGCCACATTCCCAGCCTTTTTGAAAGTTTTGCTGAGGAAAAGGGGAGAAAAATACCAAAGAGGCTAAAAAAAGACATGAGTGAGTTGCTGCTACTTGATGATCCTGGGGTTTGAACTCAGGATCTCATGTTTGCCAAGTGCTCTATCACTTGAGCCACACCTCTATTCACCTCTCCCCCTTTTTGTAGCTTAGTTATTTTTCAAGTAGGGTCTCACAGTTTTGATGGGTATGGCCTTAGACTACAGTCTTCCTGCTTACAGCCTCCATTGTATCTAGATCCACAGGCATTTACCACCCCCCTACACACACCTAGGCCCAACTTATTCATTGGAATGGAACCTCACCAACATGTGCTCAAGGCTATCACTCTACCAGCTGAGCCACAGTGCCACTTCCGGTTTTCTGATGGTTAATTGGAGATCAGAGTCTCCTGGACTTTCCTGCCCAGGCTGGCTTTGAACCATGATCCTCATATCTCAGATTACAGAGCCACTGGTGCCTGGCTCACCAATATTTTGTCAAGGATAGCCTTGGACTATGACCCTTCTAATTTCTGTATCCAAAGTAGCTGGGATAACAGGCATGAATCACCATGCCTCATTTTATGTTTGGGGGCCAGAAATTATTAAACATGTTTCAAGCTTTCTGGGAAGGGTCCAATGAAGGGAAAGGTTAAAGACACAGGAGAAAGGAGGAAATCCATAGTGGAAGATTTTTCTATCGAGAGCCATCTCTGCAGAGTCAAGGTGAAGATCATGGGTCCGAATATCTGCCATTCCACAGGTCCCATCTCCACTCACTGCTAGTCAGGATTCAGAGCTCATGCTGGAGAGGGGTGATCGCAAGCTCCCCCCACCCCCGCCCAGCCCGCCCCAGCCTCTCTCTACCTTGCATCATCTCTCTGACCGTCACTGTGTCTTTGCCAGATTCTCTGTCCCCAGCAGTCTTCCACCTTGGCTTTTGTCCTCTCTCGGCCCTCTCTCTCATCACTGCCTTCTCATGTGCTCTCCCTTCTTTTTCTGTTCCCATCACAATCTCTGTTCTCCTTGTGTGCACCATATCCCTTTGTCTTTTTCTCTCCCTCTGCTGCCATTTCTCAGTCCATATATGCCTTGGCACCTTAGGTTCTAAATTATTCCAATCTTCCAGATCCTTAGATTATCCCAACTATGGCTATGGGCCAGCCTCATCTGGGAACTTGTTGACAACACTAAAGCTTAAAACCAGGTGCTGGTGGCTCACACCTGTAATCCTAGCTACTCAGGAGGCTGAGATCTGAGGATGACAATTCAAAGCCAGCCCAGATAGGCATGTGTGTGAGATTCTACAATTAACCACCAAAAACCTGGTCCTGGAATACTAGTAGAATACTAGTTAAATACTAGCCTTGAGCATTAAAAGCTCAGGGACACGGGGCTGGGAAGGTGGCTCAGTGGTAGAGTGCTTGCCTTGCATGCCTGAGGCCCTGGGTTCGATTCCTCAGCACCACATAAGCAAAAAGAAAAAAGCCGCAAGTGGCGCTGTGGCTCAAGTGATAGAGCGCTAGCCTTGAGCTGAAGAGCTGAGGGACAGCCACCAGGCCCAGAGTTCAGGCCCCACAACCGGACCCAAAAAAAATAATAATAATTAAAAAAAAATAAAAATAAAAGCTCAGGGACAGAGCTCAGGCCCTGAAACAAAACCCCAAGTCTGTCTGTCTGTCTGACTGTCTGTCTGTCTGTCTCTCTCTCTCTCATACACACACACACACACACACACACACACAATACTAAAGCCTAGGCCCCACCCAGACATAAAGGATGCGAATCTGTCTCCAGGATAGTTGCCCACCCCTCGTTCTATAAGCTTCCTGCTCTTCCAGTACTTCTAGCTTCTTCACATGACCGCCTTGAGCTTCTCTTGAAGCTCTGAGCAGCCCACAGATGCCCATGCCACACCTCAGCTTCCACATCTACATACATACTGACCGGGGGGAATCCTGATTCTGGTGCCCTGAAAGCTTCTAAAGTGTGATCTCAGGCATCCCTCGATACAGAGATCCCTGGGCCTACCTACTCTTGTCTGCCCACATTGTCCTATGCTGAACTGAAGGGTAATATGAGTCTCAAAAGGAGGGGCAAGGCCTCTGGGTGCTTACCACAGGCTGTCTTACACCTGACAGTATAGAAAGAGGAAGCAGAGTAACCTACCCTATATACACCTCAGCCCAGGCCCTGAGCCTGGTCTGTGCTGTAAATAGGGAGACATGGGAGGAAAAAAAAAGAGGGGCAATTCTTACAGCCCTAAAAACATCCCACCTGAGGCCAAGACCAAGAAGAAGGAAAGGGACCGGAGTTGGTTTTCACACTTAGTACTTTTTAGGGATGAATGAGTTCTGGAGAGGTGGAGTCTATATCTACTAAGATTCAGGGTTTTCCACTTGTCTCCCAGGTTAAGGCAACAACAGCATGTGATTGTACTTGGTTGTTATTGTATACCACATTGTTATTTGGAAAATGTTAGCTTTTTCCTCTGCAGGCTCACAGCCTTGCTCAGACAAGCACATTTCTGGCCACCTTACCCAGTTCCAGCTCTGGTATGTTTCAGACTGATTCTCCAGAGCATGAATTTGTTTTTCCTTTCATTGTTTTAGGTGATGAGGTTGTGTTTTCTGGATTTGTTGTTCTTGGATTTTTTTAAGTGGGGATTTTTCCCCTTTCTGCTTTGTTTGGTTTGGTTTAAGAGGACTGAGAGAGAATTTAGGGAAAGGGTCAGCTTCATTGGGATCTGTTACAAGCCCCTGACACAGGGCCAGGCCCCCAAGTACTGGCTTTCTGCCTCTGACCCCTCCAGCTATGAACCCGACAAGATTTAAATGGGCAACAGGTGGAAAGCTTATTGAATGGTGCTAAGGCAGGAGAAAAACAACCAGAGAAAACAGGTTCCATCTTGAGGGACTAAATGGATTCATTGAAGATGGCAAGGATACTATCCATACGGCTAGTCAAAGCGAACAAAAACAAAAGCCCAGTTATAGCAGAGAAGAGATCTGAAGACTAGATGCCTCAGGGGATGCTAAGACATGAGCATACCAGGGCTGGGTGCACCTGCTTTGGTGTGGCACAAATGCTGGTTCCTCCAAGGGAAAGAGACAACACAGAGGGAAGAATAAACAGACCTTTCTTGACTCAAGACTTGGTTGAGGGGGCCTCTAGCATGGATGCTGGTAGAGCCAATATTCTGGGCCTCTACCTTTCTCTGGCAACCCCTAAGCCTACTAGGTTGTTGTTGATGAGGATAAGAGATTCCAGTCAATGGCTGGAAAAGGTGACTTGGGTTATACCCTGGAGCCTTCCAGTACTTAAGTAGAAAATTGCGAAACAAGGCTACATTTTGAAAGAGAAAGTATGTGAAAAATGGTTCCTCCCTCGCCTGTTCTCTCCTGGAGCTTGGTGCAGGGAGGTGGGTGAGATGGATTGCTGACTAGATTCACTCTGCTGTGGAAAAGAGTGCAGAACCCAGTCCCTAAGTGCCCCCTCAGGCTAGCTCCCAGCAACTACCAGCCTTTGATGAAGAACTATTGATATTAGGATGCATTTTTTACCATCTGTTGAACATCAGTCTGGTCCATGGAGAAAGCCAGCTCTTTTCTCCAGCTGAGTTTTGTCTTCTGAAAGGGTTGGCTCTGGAGGGCTCCTACTGCAACCCAATATGGACGGTGGGCTGCTGATTGAATACTTGGAACGTCTTCAGTTTGAGCCAGACCCGTCCATAAAATGGGAGGCATTTTGGCAGTTCCAAGGCCCCTGGCACAACCGATCTTGGCCCTGGCCTGGATGTCTTCTTCAAGGAGCAGGGTGGGCCTCCTGCCAGCATGCTTCCCTGGGAAACATCGAAGTGAGTTAAAGTCAACAATGAGTTCATCTCCAAAAGGAATAAACTGACAGCCTTAGGGCAGGGGACAGGAGGAGGGAGAGCAGAGGGTTGGGGGGGGGGGGGGCAGAGGAGGGCGCTAGGTGATACTGGAGCAGCCAGACCAGATCCAAGCCTGTCAAGAGAATTGGCAGCTCAAGGAACAGCAGAAGTGCTTTTCCAGGCAGGCCAGCCCTAGAAGACTCTCTTGGCTAAACTGGTAACAATCATGGTGTCACAATCCCAGGGCCATGAGAAGGATTCCCTCAAGGACTGAGGGCTAGAGCAAGGCAGATGGAAAAAGGCTGAGATGATAGCCAGTAGCTCAGGTGGCCCCGGGCCTGCCTCAGGGTGGGCAAAGATATCCATGGAACAGAGCTATGACACACCGTATCATGTTGGGGGACGTGAAGGGAGAGGATTTGACCAAAGTCAAGGGATGGGAAGGCTCATGAAGGATGATTGTCATAGGCCTCAACATTGTTTTGTTGGTGTATCAGTGCTGGGGCTTAGACTCAGGATCTCATGCTCTGACATTGCTTTTTTTTTTTTTTTTTTTTGCTCAACCACTGAGTCACCCTCTCCACTCCAGCTTTTTGCTGGTCAATTGGAAATAAAAATCTCACAGACTTCGCTGGTTTCAAACCACAGTCCTCAGATCTCAGCCTTCTGAATAGCTAGGATGACAAGCATGAGCCACCAACCAGTATACTCCCCCCCCCCAAAAAAAAACACATTTTAATCTGAACATCTCTCTTTCTTAAATTTGTCTCTGATGACTCTATATGAAGATAACTAGCCTGCTTTGCATTACACTTTCCGAAGGATCCCAGACTGCCCTTGACTCATTTAGCCTGGTGATGCCCAGTGGCATTCAGGAAGTCCCTGGGACTACCTGAAACCGAGGCCACCTCTCTGCAGGCATCAGAATAGACTCCTCAGCCTGTCCTATCATCTCAAGGTGAGCTCATTTGTAGGAGGGTGGCTGCACCTCCCTCCCACCAGCTACTCTGGATGGAAAAGTCTAATCAAAAGTTGCTTGTGCCAGGTCAAGATACACATTACCCATCTGGCTTAGACCTCCCATATGCCCCCAGGGCTTGAAGAGTCTGGCAACAACTGCCCTGAATATACACTTGGCCTCTTTCCCAAGGGCAGGATCATTGCCGATAGACTGTGTTTGATTTCTCTCATGCCCTCACATTCATTCTCATAAGATATTTTATTGTACGAGGTATTTGCCTACCATGCATATTTACAATTCTTTTCCTGCCACCAAACCAACAAAATGTCCACAGACATTGCATCTCGATTTCTCACAAACACATTCTCACTGCATTCCCATGGTTTACCCTTCTCCAGTTTCCCTTCTTTTCCCTTTCTCTCTCTCTTTTCTTTCTCTTTCTTTCTTTCTTTCTTCTTTCTTTCTCTCTCTCTTTCCTTCCTTCCTTCCTTTCTTCCTTCCTTCTTCCCTCCTTCCCTCCTCCTTGCTTCTTTCTTCCTTTCTTCCTTCCTTCCTTCCTTCCCTCCTTCCTTCCTTCCTTCCTTCCTTTCTCTCTCCTACCTTCCTTTCCTATCTTCCCCCCACCTCACCCCCAAACTACTTCATCCTCAGATCCATCTGATCCCTCTCCAGACTGGCTGAGTTGGACTTCTCTGCTCCCAGGAGAGTCTTTACACTTTCCAGCCCCATGGATACTACCTTTTGCCTGCTTTTTCCTGCTTTCCTTGTGATGTGTAGTTTCAAGTTCTTCGTGGCTATGACATGCCCAGTCCAAATTTCCCCATATTTGACCAATGGCTTCTGCTTTTGACTACCACAGGCTAAATGGTGAATGAATGGGGGGAAAAGTAAATGGATGAAAAAAGTTTCACCTTGAATGGTTTCTTTCTTTTCTTATTTTTCCCTGGAGATGATAGTTATTGATGATACTTATTTTTCTTTCTGGGAGGAAAAATAAGAGCTACATCAAAGATCATTGGAGCACTAGAGCAAAGGCTAGCCGGCCTTGATTTTTCTGTCATTCAGATACTATTGATTATGACAACCTAGATTTCAGGGGCATTGCCCACTACCTCCATCCCTGTCCCATCCACTCCTATGCTCAGAATTATTCCTGAGTCCCCTGGACTAAGGGACTGCCACATTTCAGTGCTGTTGGACCTGCTGCTTCCTCCCCTGCAGTGTTTCCTTATACTTCCACCAACACTCATTACCTAGTGCAAATTAGTGTCCCCTGTGAAGCAGCCCTCCAAAGCTCCCTCTGCATCTCTTTTTCTTTCTGTGTGTGTGTGTGTCTGTATGCTGGTACTGCGACTTGAACTCATCCAGAGCACTGTTCCTTAGTTTAGTTTAGTTTTGTTTTTTAACTCAAACCTGGTACTCTGCCCTTGGCCACAGTTCCACTTCCAACTTTTTGATAGTTAACTGGAGATAAGAGTCTCCCAGGCTTTCCTGCCCAGCTGGTTTCAAACCTTGACCCTCAGATCTCAGCCTCCTGTATAGCTAGAAATATAGGTCTGGCTCCCTCTCTGTATTTCCATCACTGTTTTTCCAGTCCTGGGGCTTGAACTCAGGGGCCTGAGCACTGTCCCTGAGCACTGCTTCTTTTTGTTCAAGGCTAGCACTCTACCACTTGAGCCACAGTGCTACTTCCAGCTTTTTCTGTTTATGTGGTACTGAGGAATCGAATCCAGAGTTTCATGCATGCACTCTACCAAAGCCACATTCCCAGCCCCCATTATCACTTTTATCACCATCTGTTCACCTTTATAACATCTATATCTGTGCCCCTCAGCTGAGTGTTGGTTCTATATTCATTACTACAGTCCCTGCCCTTTCCCACATCTCCCAGGGTATATGGATCCAGCTGGAAACACAATGGAAACATTTATACAACACTTGCAGCCACTTAAACCCCTTTGTGTGCAATGCTTCAGTTTACCCTTAGTAGTTCAGCCCTGGGCTGGGGGCGGGGGGGATGTCTATTTTCCAAATAACTGATATATAAAGAAATGAGCTGGGTGCCATTGGCTCACACCTGTAATCCCAGCTACTCAGAAGGCTGAGATCTGAGGATCGCGGTTCAAAGCCAGCCTGGGCAGGAAAGTCTGAGACTCTTATCTCCAATAAACCAGTAGAAAACTGCAAGTGGCACTGTGGTTCAAGTAGTAGAGCGCTTGTCTTGAGCTGAAGAGCCCAGAGACAGCGCCCAAGCCCAGAGTTCAAGCCCCACGACTGACAAAGAAAAAAGAAAAAAAGAAATGAAAAGAAAAAAAGGTGACCAAAAAAGAAAACAAGGTGACCAAGGGCACACAGCTGATGAACACTGAGGTTAGGATTGGAACACCAGCAGCT